AAAATAAGCCATTGAGTCAGCATTACAGCCTCATTTTGCCTCTGCTCCCCAAATTCTCAGGGGACTTGATAATTGTCACTTGGTGTATTTGTCTAGGTAAGCCAGGTGTCAATCACACACCTCCTTGGAAGAGAGTTTAAGAGGTGGCCTGTCCTCCCTGAAATCCCTCTTATTGTGCAGAATCGTATGTTCCTCTAGACAGCATGGGGTCCTATTGATTCCTCTGCCTGACTCAATCTCCACAGTGGGCAACAGGACCGGCTTTGGCAGCACCAGAGGAAGCACATCTCGTCAAAGTTGTTATGCTTTCACCAGCATTATAAGGTCAGACACGCTAAGAAGCTATGATTGTCCCCCAAGAAAGTATGACTTCCAAAGTCTAAGCTTCCTGGAGGGACTTAATTATAAAAGGCAGCCCATGTTCCTTTTGGCTTTTGAAAATAAGCTGAGCTCCTTGCTGGTAGAGAAAAACAAGAACATATTGACAGATTGATTTCTTGTCATGTACTGATTTCCATCATAAGCAAAAAGCCTGTACCATTCAGAAGCAGAAGAAACACAGGGTACCAATTTGTCATATTTCATTTTCGTGTTTCCAGAGCCCATGTCACATTCAAAAAGGAGGCTCAGGGTGACTGAGGTTGAGCAGAGATGGCCAGAGTCACACATTTTTCTTTTCTTTTATTATTTTTCACACTGCCTACTGCCTTTTTTTTCAATCTCTTTATATTGTTGAATTGATTCGGATTTCCTTTCTCCACCAATCTTTCCATTTTTCTTAGTTTCCCTGAATTGGCAAACTTTTAGAGTTTGCACATTTGTCCAAATGAGCTACTCTTTAGGAAAAATGAAGGCCAAGTTAGGCAATGCAAACACAAGCAGGTATTCATTAGTGATATTGGTGCCTTTCCTGTATCTGCCCTGCCCCCACACCACCCATTATCTTTTATATCAAGCGTTTTCTCAACTCATTATATGACCTGTGCAATGAATTCAAACTGCACAACAGGTTCTCACAGACACCAAAATAACATTTTTGTTTGTTTCGATGCAGCTGTTTTGCTTATGTAATTGCCATCAGGCCTAACACTTCTGAACACTCTGTTTACCCGAATGTTCACTGACCCAGTTAAAGTCAACATAAATAAATCTGGATCAGCTCTTCTAGGTCAGGCCATGAGAAGACTCTTACTTTTCTGACATTTTTAGAAATTTCTCTTTACATGAAAAATTACTACTAAAGAGGACAACTCCTGACGTGGGTTGGCTCTGTCCCCACCCAAATCTCATCTTGAATTATAGCTCTCATAATCCCCACATGTTGCCAGAGGGACCCAGTAGCAGGTAATTGAATCACCGGGGTGATTACCCCCATGCTGTTCTCGTGATAGTGAATGATAGTGAATTTATCTCGTGATAAATTCATGAGATTTGATGGCTTCATAAAGGACTTTCCCCCACTTTGGTCAGCACTTCTTCCTGCCACCATGAGAAGAAGGATGTGTCTGCTTACCCTTCCATCATGATTGCAAGTTTCCTGAGGCCTCCCAAGCCATGCTGAACTGTGACTCAATTAAATATCTTTCCATTATAAATTACCCATTCTCAGATATACCTTTATTACCAGTGTGAGAACAGACTCATACAATTGCCCTGGTGAAATCCCTCAGTCATGTCACACAAAATGTGAATTGGTGTCTGGCAACTTAAAGAATGCATTAGCACTAAAATGTTCCTGCTTTTGAAAAAAGGAAGATTCATCAAAGACAGTAAAAATAATTATAGATGTAGCATTGTTTGTTTGACTTAATTTTATGTGATTATTATGTGTCTGGGGAAAATCAATTTATTAGAAACTATAACTTTTCCTTATTGCCTCTACATGAAAGAATGTTGATTGTGACAAGAGACTTGAGATACATTTGCAAGCATTGTGAGGCTTCTAAAAGGGTGTTTCTGTTGATGACATCCTCTGCTGAGATCCTGGCTTGCAAAAGGAAGCAGCCAGGTGTGAGGCGGTCCACACACAGAGGGGCAGAAGTGTGAAACCACACACAGATCATCTATGCTAAGTCAAGCCATAAGCTGAAGTTAAGGTTTTCGAGACCAAAGCCACCACAGTTTCCTGCCGCCTTTGAAGGCCTGCCTTATTACAGGAAGCCTGGCCTTGCAGCTGGGCCTGAGCTAATGTCTTTTTTTGTTGTTTTGTTGTTGTTGTTTTGTTTATTTTGGAGATGGTGTCTTGCTCTGTTGCTCAGGCTAGAGTGGAGGGGTACAATCTTGGCTCACTCCAAGCTCTGCCTCCCAGGTTGAAGCGATTCTCCTGCCTCAGCCTACTGAGTAGCTGAGATTACAGGCGCCTACCACCATGCTTGACTAATTTTTTCTTTTTTTCTTTCTTTTTCTTTTTTTTTTTTTTTTTTTTTTTTAGTAGAGGCAAGGTTTTCCCATGTTGGCCAGGCTGATCTTGAAATTTACATCTCAAGTGATCCACCTGTCTCAGCCTCCTAAGGTGCTGGGAATACACGTGTGAACCACCATGCCCGGCTGAGCCTGGGCTAATATCTTGGGGGAGCATCACGTGTTTGTCTTTCTCCAAGTTAAGAAGAAAAGAAAGATGCTTCCTAGCCTTGAACACCAAACATAACATGCAAAATAAATAAGTCAGGGCAAAAAGAAAAGTTACTTTCTCCAGTAAACTAAAGAAAACAGGGGAAGGGGAATTAGTCCAATTGGAAATTGAGAGGTGAGTGGGATAAAAAATGCAACACTCTCCACTCAGACATTTATTGGCATCTGAAAAATCAACAAGACTAATGCAGAACACTTGACCTTCTTCCTCCAGCCTGGTTTTACCCCAGTCTCTACCAGCTTGGTTCATGACACCACTATCTGCTCAGTACCTAGAGCCAGAAGCACAGGAATCACCCTTCTTCCCTCCTTCACCTTCACTCTCCAACCCAGCTCATCCCCAGCCATCTGTCCATCTCCCACCATGAGCACCCTTGTCTGTGACTCTACCAACTCTCCCCAGCATCGCCAGCTGCCCTGGTTCACTGCTGCCTGTGACAGTCCATTGTTTCCATGACAGGTACATCTACCCTACTTACAAGCTGTGTCTCACAGCTGCATTAAGCCACCACTAACCCCACCACCCCACCCACAATAGAGCACCATCACTGGCTTGTCTGGGCAGAGACCTGCCAGCATCTTCATTGTTTTTTATATCCTGTTTATAGTGCTTTGCCATTCAACAGCAAATAGTCTTGTTAAAGTGAAAATCAGATCATAGGACCACATTATTTGAAAATCCTTACCTGATTTCTCTTTGCCTGTATAACTAAATCCAAACTTTTCCCATAGCCCACAAGGTCAGCCCTGACTGAACTCCTACTGTGTAGCTCCTGCACCTTTTCCTGGGGCTGACACAAAGTGCCCCAAACTTGGAAGCTTAAACAACAGAAATGTGTCCTTTCACAGTTCTGGAAGCTGGAATTCTAACACCAATGTTTTTGCAGGGCTGTGTTCCCACTGCAGCTTGATGGGGAACCCTTACCTGCCTCTTTCAGCCTCCTCGATTGCCAGCATTTGTGACATCCCTTGGCTTGCAAGTGTATTACTGTAATGTCTGCCCTCCTTTTCTTCTTTCTTGTGCCAAATTTCCCTCTTCTCATAAAAACACCACTCATTGGATTAGGTCCCACTCTAGTCCACCTCTTTTTAGCTTGATGGCATTGGCAGAGATCTTAGTTCCAAACAAGGCCACATTCACAAGTTCAAGATGGGTGAATTTCTGCAAAGACACTATTCTACCTGGCACAACTATCCAGCCTCAGAGCTCATATTTGCACCTTCCCTGCCGTCTTCAGCCATATTGGGCTCTGCTCTGCTCCTACTGTGGTCCTTGCCCCTCAAGACATCCCACAGGCCCTGAGCCCAGGATGTTCTCCCAGTCCACATCTTGCAGCTGGTTTTTTCTCATTGTTTGGTCTTCAACTTAAGTGTCACTTCTCCAGAGAAGATTTACCGCTCACCTCCCTAGGATAGGGCATTCTATTTTTTAATTGACATTTTACTTGTTATTTCCCCTCTTATTTCCAGCTGGAGTATAATGTCCTTGGAGGCAGACATTTATCTGTGGTGTTCACTGTATTTATCCCAGTGCACGGCCCCCCGGGTGAAGCTTTCCTTTGATTAGTCTTGGGATCAATCAATAGGTAGGTAATTGACCAACTATTTTTGTGCCCTGATTAACCCATTCCTGGAAGACAGAGAAGTGCAGGTTGCAATATTTGCATGTGGGCTCCATTTCAACAATGTATGTGTGGCTCAGTGTCACCAGTGCACTCTTCCTCTCCATCAGTGTCCCTCAGCTGCTTTCATTATCACTTCCTTAAGGAGCTTTTTAAGACATTTTTTCTTAACCCTCCTCATGAAATTTTAGTATCATAAATGTATCGTATATCTGCATGAGTGCTTTGGCCATTCGAAGGCCCATAAACTACTGCACAATCTAAGGGCTTTCTTGCCTACCAAGAATCAACTTTAGCCTCCTGGGGATGATAACACACCTGTAGAATGTATGATCTACACAATCAATGATTTCTCCAGTTCTGTGTTTAGGAAAAGTACATAGGGATCAAGTACATCTTTTGAAATTCTGTCTTCTATTTCCAACTGAATGGTTCTTAATATACAATCCTCCTGATCGTAAAATTTGTTAAGATGTATGTGTACTTTCCTGTGGATAGAAATGTCAGCTTCTTCCTTTGGAGAATAGGAGAGTTTCAAAATGTATTACTGGCTGAACATATCTTCCCTGTCTCTGACTTTGGTTGGGGATTGAACAAGAGAGATAAGAAGGAGAGGAACAGACAAGTATGTTATTGAGCCTGTACCAAGTGACAAGTACCATATAGTAGCCACTTTATATCATAAATCAGAATATCCATTATGTAAAACCATGATAAAGAATGTTTAAATAACTTAGATGTTAAGAATTAATAAATAAAATACACATTAATTTTTTTAATGCAAAGACTCACAGTGTCTCATCACCCCTCAACAAGGGAGGCTTCCTGGCCATTTTGCAGAGGGAAGCAGACCCCACTTAGTTTGTTTCCATGAAGCAGTCAACCTAGCCAGGAACAGAGTATATTCCCTGCTGATGCCACACTTGTATCCATCCTCGGTTGATGCCTCTGCTCTCTGTGTTTGTCACTGAAGTTTGAGTGTGGGTCAGATGCCAGGCCAGCAGATGGCTGAAATGATAAGCATATGTCCAGTAGCAGGTATGTGCAGCTCATTTGATCATTAATCAAAACTATCTGTCCCTTGCAGTTCACAGGCATGGTCCTTACAGCTTATCCTCATGTGAGGGGTGAGAGGTATGGCATCTTAACCTGTGGTGAGCACTGGCTTAACCCAGCAAAGGATCAAAACAAAAGCTGCTTCCAGCTGCAACTCTTGTGGCTCTGACAAATTGAGGTTGGGTGAAGAGGCTCATCATGCTTTCTCCTCCTGAAACCATTCTTCCCAGCAGAGTGGATTCTGTGGCTCTGCCCCATCTCCTGGCAATTGGTGCTGCTCTCCGCGGTGAAAGACCCATGGGCGATGAAGGGTGGTAACCACCCACACGTGGTGAGGAGGGAAAGGTCCTTCCCGCTGTAGTTCAACCCCCTTCCGCATGAGGCTTCCTACTCTTCATATCCCAGAGCTTCCCCTGGGCACTGGGAGAGGGAGTCTGTGTGAGAAGGAATGAAAGGGAAAGTGGAAACGAATTCCCACTCAGCTGACGCTGGGCCTCCCTGTCTCACTGGCCGAGGCTCCAAGTCATGGCAGCCATTCAAGGCTGGCTTCTGCACTGGGTGTAGTTGAGGGTCCTTTTGATTCCTCACCCAGGGGCTCCCCTTCTCCATGATCCTCTGGCAAGGTCAAGGCACTTCCAGCTCTCTGGCCTTTCCCAGCCCTCGGCTCCTGCCCTGTGGTCTCCCTTCAGTTCCCTGTTGCTGAAGTCTTTTTGCTCCAGAAACCCTCCCTCCTGAGTCAGGTCTTTCTGAGACAAATGGGCTCTATTCCCTTCCCTGGCTTTCACTACACACAGAAAAACTTGTGGTCCTTTCTGAGAACTCAAGCTGCTTGGCCACCTGTTGACCTCTCTCTCTTCTCCCTGCTACCGGCATCCTTCTACCTTCAGCACAGGGACAGGCACTGGTCCAGTCCCTAGGACCACTGCACCAGAAGACAGTTCCACATCTGCTAAGATCAGTCTCAGGCCTCACTTTAGCGGAAGCACTGAGCAGGCCCATAGGCCCTTGAGCTCAGCAAGTGACCAGCTAGCAAACACGGTGATTCAAAAACCCTCAGAGCTCTCCCTGGGATTCTCACAGGCCTTAAGATCTCACTGACACATGGCAGCAGAGGAAAAATGCCCAGCAAGTTTCACTTTACAAAATCACATGAATAAATAAATTTCTACCCCATAAAACTAATGTTGAGCCTTTTCTTAGATAAGCTCTTTGAAGTGGGGACCATGAGAACAAATTACTTATATTTTTGCAAGTGCTGTAAGCATGAGTTTTGTATTTCTCTGCATAATATGGAGAGGGAGCACAAATCATCTTCAGCTTGGAGACTTCAACCAAACTCTGGGAAAACAGGAAAAGCACCATAGAGCATCCTCCTGCAGAAATGTCAAGGTCACATGATTTTGAGAATCTCTCAAATATAGGTAATTATTGGAAGGCATAAAATACAAAGGCATAACATCCATTTTCTCAAATTTCATTTTTATAGCCGGGGTCAGCCAGCTTTTTCTAAAAACGTCCAAAAAGTAAATGTTTTCAGTTTTGCAGACCATGCAATCTCCCCTGCAACTATTCAACTTTCCTTTTGTGGCAAGAAAGCAGCCAGGGGTAATGCATGGGCAAATGGTGTGGCCATAAAACCTTATTTATAAAATCAGCTGGTGGATCACCTTAGGACCTAGGTCATAGTTTGCTGATTCTGGATTTATGACATTGAAACAAACTGTCATGGTTAACAGAGTACACATCTATGAAATAAGACTTAGCAGCATTTATACAGATAAGACATGCCTTTCAAAATGTAAGTTCTCAAGTAGGATTTTAAAGCGTGGGTTCCCATTTGGAAGTACAGAGATTGCTTGAATCCCTCAAAATTGTAAGCCAAATTGTGTGTAATTGTATTTTTCTAGGGACTCAATCATAGCTGCCAGGAGATTCCCAAAGGATTTTTTAATAAGATTAGAAACACTGACTTAAAAGTAAGTATCAATCACAAAATGGACAATTTAACATTTTCTTTCTTATAACAGTTGTAGCAGTACCCTATAAAACTCTATTCGAGACAAGCATGTGTTTAACCACTGGTAATGACATTTTGTAGCCTAGCGGATTTCCCCAGTCACATTCCTGGGTCCCATAACCTTCGCAGGACGGCAGGAAAAGGGAAAATGGGCCTCCGTCACAAACCTGTCAATTTCTTCCTCCGTAATACCCAAGCTCATCTCCTCCTTTCAGCTCTCCTCACAAACTGCACCACCCCCTCAGGGTACAGCGAAATCCGGGGAGATTCCCAGGAGCATCAATTCCTTTTAGACAGGCCAAGCAGGAAATAAATTGGGATTACTCATAGGCAGGAGAATGTTCTTAGAAATTCCTTTTTACTATTGTTTTGTTTTTTACTGAACGTGCCAAAAACCACACCTTGTAACTCTGGGAAATTCGTCTTCCCCAGCCATATAAAGAAGTCTTTAAACCAAAACCTGTGGCTCTTACAGATGATCTAACTGGGGCATTAAAAACTTATAAAAATTATTTAAAAACAGCAATGTGTGCATAGTCATCCCAGTAGGAAAAATAAAGTAAACTCAAGAGATTTTAAGCTAATGAGACATGAGTTAAAGAGATTTAGAGAAGAAGGCTTACATCCAAAGACTTTCAAGACATTTGTATATAAAATATCACAATTAAAGGTAATATGCATTTTGATTTGTCACATAAAAAGAGATAGAGTGGAAAAGTCATATCTCCAAATGTTATAAAATTTTTAAAACAATCAACAAACTCTAAAAAGCATAGTACTGAAGAACAAAATTGCAGAGTTAAAATTAACAAAACCTCAGGAGTTCTGTAAAGCTATTGTGATCAAGATGCTGTGGCGCTAGCAAAGTGATACAAAAATAGATCAGAATAAAGCAGAAGAGATAGCCCTGAAACAGACACACATAAATACAGTCAATTGATCTTTGACAATGGGACAAAGGTAATATATTGGAGTGGAGACAAACTTTCCAACAAAGGGTGTGGAACAACTGGACATCCACATGCAAAAGACAGAAAGAAAGAAAGAAAGAAAGAGAGAGAGAGA